TTTTTTTGTTAAGTGCACGTTTTAATTTTATTTTATTTAAATATCTTTCTAAAAAGCCTCCCTTATTATATGAGTCATAATTAAAATCTCCAATTATAATTCTTTCATTACCAATTGACTCGCTTAAAATATTACTCAATTCGTGTATAAACATAGTTCTAGTTACTGTCGGAGACTTATAGCCGGTAATAATTTCAACCTCATTTATGATTATGCGAATCAAGTCAATATGCCGATGTTGTCCATTTATAATCTCATCTTTTTGAATATGTTTCTCAATTAATCCATTCATCTCGTTTTTTAAAAAGCATATTATTCCCTTCGGTAAACGTTTAACATTATCATCTGTTCTGTAAAGAATATTAAATCCTTCTAACATTAAATTATCTGTTGCAATTGTTTGTGATTCTGAAAAAATTAATAAATCTGCTTGTTTATACCATTTATCACTCGATATATTGATAAAATTTTTATTTTACGATCTTACGTTCTGGTATATTATTTTTATGCGATTTCCCTTTATTACTTTTGAATATGACAATTTAAGTAATTTCTCTTCTTTTAGACGTTTAATTTCTAATTCTAAATTATTATTTGTTGATGGTTTCTTTGGAGCTCTAAAACTACCAAGAATGTATAATTCTGATAATTTTTTTACTCTACTCAATGCCACGTAAAGCATTGGCCTTGTCATACGATAACTGTCTCTTAAATCAATACACAATTTTTCGTATGTTTGTCCTTGACTTTTGTGAATTGTTAAAGCCTCGGCTGGCGTGATAGGAAATTGTTGTCTCACGATTTGATATCCCATTCTTTCATTAATGTTCAATACAAGAGACTTGTGAGAGCGAAACCAAACACATCTCCAAATTATTTTCAGTCATATACCTTATGTATGGTCTCCTTTGTCCAACACCAATCCTATCATTATTGAAATCTAACCATATTTTCATTGGTTCATCTGTACCTGGTTTTAAAGTTATTTTTTGCAATTTGCCACACGCTCCGTTAACTAAACCATCTTCTACATCTATATTAGAAGTTATCATGTAATTGATACCAATTTTTAACGTAATTTTGTAATCCAAGCCTCCACATTCTGTTCTTTTTTATTTTTAATGCTGTAAGTAATTTATTTCTCAACTTACTACTTATTTTTCCTAAAATTGAATCTTTGGCTATAGAATCATAGGCTACACCATCAATTGAATTAATTTTTATTTGGTTAAAACTATCAACCATCCAATTTTCACCATATAATCTAATTGCATCTTTTGGAACATATTCCTCTGTAGTTTCTCTGGATTTAATAAGAGCAATATCATTTTCAGACATTGTGCCTCTTGCAAGGTTATTAAGAGCCTCAATAAATGGTTTATCCTCTCTTTGTCTCATTATTTCTGTCAACTCAAAAAAATCAAATTCATTCCATAAAATGTTCTCCGAAAAAATGCTTAACATGCTAGATTTTGAGGAAAGGTATATCGAATTATCCATAACTGGTGGTAATTGATAAAGATCACCGACAACTATAACAGAAACTCCCCCAAAGCTTCTATTATTACCCATTATTTGTCTTAATCTTGTATCGACTCGACTAAACATTGTACTACCTACCATTGATATTTCATCAATAATTATTAATTTTAATTCGAATAAGTTCTCTCGAATTGTATTTGCTACATCTGCTGATAATTCCGGCATTTGTCCTCCGTATTGTGTTATTGGTAATGCAAAAGCATTGTGCAGTGTAGTACCACCTATTAGAAATGATGCTTTTCCCGACGGTGCACATAATAATATTTTTAACGAATTTTTCTTTTCACCGGGTGTATCGTCGAAGAAATTCAATAACACCCGATAAATCGCTTTTAAAACTGTACTTTTTCCAACACCTGCTGAGCCGCTGATGTACAATCTAATAGGTAAACTCCCATTTGCAAAACAATGCAAAACATGCATTGTAATTTCCCTTTGCTCATCATTTAATTTACAAACTATGCTCATCATTTCCTCCTTGCTTTTTTGGGGTGGACTATTTATACTCCTTTTAATGTTTTTGGAGCATTTCGCTAAACCCGTTTGACTAAATATATCTATTTCTTCATCTTTTCGAATTTTTGTTTTCCCGAAAGATTCCATCTCCTCATCCTCTATAGTCTGTTGATCTATATCTTTATGTGCCTGAACCAAGGCATTGTCAAGTTCTAAGTCACCTATTACTGAGAATTTATTTCTATTTTCTTCAATTACATGAATATTTTTACTATAAATGTTTTCACAATCTTGTGTATCTACATCTTCTCTTTCATTTTTCCATGGCCAAAATAGCAAAACTTGTTCTCTGAAATAATTATATCTATCCTGATTTAATTTATATCTTCAAAATCGAATAACTTTCTGCTTTTTCCTTTCTTTAATCTCACTCTCTTCATCATATTCGTCATCGCTATCAGTGCTATATGTAATCTTTTTCTCATCATAATTTGCTGCAAATTCAGCCAGACAAACACTTGAAAATTTTTTATAATTTCGATTTTCATACTTTTCGATTATGTTTTTATAATA